TGCACCAGGTACTATGGTTGTGGCAGCCCCTTCCCCCAGGGCATTGAGGGGAAGCGCATCCTTGACCTGGTGGGTGGGCGGGCGGGCCCCGCAGCGGCGGCAGCGGCGTCGGCGCGAGCGGCGGGGCCGCACCTTGGGATCTGACAAAGTCTTTGCGAACACGAACGCGGCGGCGCAGGGGGCCGCAAGGAGGGGCGCGCCGCCGCCGGCTCTGCCTCGCGGCCGCGCGGCCCGCTCGGGCGCAGCCCCGCCCCCGACCGGCGCCGCGGCAGGGGTCGGGCCACAGCCGCGCGCTGCCGCCCTGCAGCACCCACGCACAGCGGCCCGCGACGCGCTGCCCCGCACGCGTCCGCGTCTTTCCACACGCGCAGGGCTGTGGCACGGGGCGCGACTGCTACGTGTGCTCCGCCCTGGTCGGGGAGAAGGGCTTCGTAACCGGTGAGCGCACATAAGGCGGCCGCGCCGCACCCGCCTCCCCGCCCCCCGGCCCGCCGGCGCCGGTGCTTCGCATGAGCGAGGCCCCGCGCGGGGGCCCTTTCCCACGCGCGCCCCGGCCGCCGCGGCGGCATTTCAAACGTCCAGGCGCGCGAAACGCCCGGCCCGGCGCACCGCATGCAAACGCCACGCCCACCGCGTCGCCGCGCCCCAGGCATCGACATGACCGACGCGCAGCTGGACGTGGCCCGGCGCCACGCGGACGCGTGGGCGCGCGAGCTCGGCTATGCTGAGCCCAACACTCGGTTCGTGAAGGGCCGCATCGAGTACCTGGACGAGGCGGAGCTGCCGGACGGCAGCGTGGATGTGGTCATCTCGAAGTGCGCGATCTGAGGGCACGATCCGGGTGGCGCGATCTGGGGGCATGATCTGGGGGGCGCGATCCGGGTGCCGAGCGCACGCGGCTGGATCCGGGCCGTCCGCGCCACGCTCCAGGGCGGCCTCGCCGCCCCCCGCGCCTGGGCCGCCCGCTCACGCCGCGCTCCGCCCGCACGCCCCGTCCCCCGCCGTGTTTTGCGTGTGCGCGCGCCGCGCAGCTGCGTGATCAACCTGTCGCCCGAGAAGGCGCGCTGCCTGGAGGAGGTGTACCGCGTGCTGGCCCCAGGCGGGGAGATGTTCTTCTCCGGTGAGCGCGGGGTGGGGTGTTTGGGCGGGGGGGCTGGGACGCGGGGTGCCGGTGGTTGCAGCATGCGTGACGGCGTCAACGCGCGTGTGTGAGTGATTGTTTGTGTGTGTATGTGTTTTTTTGCGCGTGCACGTGCGCCTGTGCGTGCGTATGAACGTTGGTGTGTCGAGGAGGCGGCCTGGTGGTGTGCCGAGCCTCCGCCCGCGCGGCTGCGGCCGTCCCTCCCGCCCTCACGCCCCTTGCCCGGGCGTCGCAGCTGGCGCGCCGCGCCCGCGCTCACCCTACGCGTCGGCGGCTCGAGGCGCCGCCTGCCTCTCACCCCGAGCCAGCCGAGCGCGGCGCCTCGCCGAGCCCCTGACCCCAATCCGCACCCCCATCGGGCGCCCATCGTCCCCGCAGACGTGTACTGCGACCGCCGGCTGCCGGAGGCGGCGCAGAAGCACTACGTGGCGGTGGGCGAGTGCCTGGGCGGCGCCCTGTATGTCAACGATTTCATCACGCTCTGCCGCAAGGTGCGCGCCGCGTGGCCTCTGGTGGGGCTTTCGCTGCAGCACTTTGACGCCGTGTGGCCTCGGCGCAGGGCGGTTCCTCAGGGCGACCCGTGAGAGGCGCGCGCCCCGTACCCTGTCGCGCACGCGCGCGCGGGTGCCGCCGCGCGCCCCGGGGCGGTGTCGCGCGCTCGCGCAGGCGCGCGCAACGCTGTGGCCGTTCAGCGGCGCACGCAAGCCCCGCCCCGCCCGGAGCAAGGCGCGGACGCTCTTGCCTTCCGCCGCGCCGCTCGCGGCCGCGGCTTCACGCTTCGCGCCGCGCACGCGCCCCGCCCCCCTCTCCGCTCGCGACCCCAGGTGGGCTTCCACGACCCGAGGGTGCTGAGTGTCGAGCCCATTGATGTTCATGATGCCAAGCTGCTGGAGGTGCTGGGGGGCGCCAAGTTCTTCAGCATCACATTCAGGTGGGATGCGTGTTTTGGTGTCGAGTGTCGGAGATCTGGACCCCTCGTAAACCTCAACAGAACCAGGGCCGCTCGTTCGCCTGACACACTGAGGTTCCAGATCTCCAACACCGAACTCGGTGTCGAGTGTTGGAGATCTGGAGCCTTGGTGTGTCCAGGCGAACGAGCGGCCCTGGTCGTGTTCAGGTTTACGAGGGGTTTTGGGTGTGAAAAGTGAATGTGCGGTATTAGGTTAGGCGCAGTGAGGTGCGGGTGAGGGTTTCAGGCGCGTGCAGGGTAGGACGCGGGTCAAGGGTTGACCAAGGTGTGGGTGGTTTTTGAGAAAGGTGGGGGTAAGGTGCAGGTGAGGTCTGCAGGTGGAGCGACGCGTGAACTGCCGGGCACCTCGACTGCAAAAGCCGGCCGCCCATGCACGCGGCGCGCGGTTTGGCGGCGTCCGCAATGCCGAAGGACGCTTCGCCTATGGCGACCGGGCGCGGAGGCCGGGCTGCGCCGCTGCAAAGCGCCGCCCTGCTGGGGCCCCGCCCCGGCTCGGCGGGGGCAGGCTTGCAGGGGCGCGGCTGCACCTCGCGCCCGCCGCAACGGGAGTCGACTCCCGGTGTCCGCGGGCCCTGGCCCAATGGCCCCAAAACCCTCAACGCCCTCAACCTGGCCCCGCGCCGCCGCGCCATCTGCGCCCTGTCCGTGCTTCAGGCTGTTCAAGCTGCCCGGGCTGTTGGAGGATCAGTGCGAGGACTACGGCCAGACGGCCACCTACGCAGGCACCATCACCGGCCAGGAGGACGCATGTGAGGCCTCCCCCACCCCCCCACTAC